TAGCCGGCCTGCCGGAATTCTCGAGTCGTGGGGACGAAGAACATTCCATTGTCAAAGCCTTTACGACGAAAATGAGCGAGCGAAGAACTTTGCTATTTAAGTTGTCCTTACACGTGCCTAAAACTTCTATTTTATTCAATAATCTCTGTTAATTTAATATTGGAGTTTTTAAGTGTTAAGATGCTGATACATATGTATTTTATCTCTTAATAACGCTTAAAAATTATATATTATTAAATAAATATCTTCTCCAAGTAACAGATAGATGTAAATATTAATACGTATGAAGTATATAGTGTCTAACCAATAATTCACAATATTTAAAATGTTTTAAAATACTATTTCAAAGATATCTGATGAGTTAACAAAAAAAGAATCTGTTGTAAAAATAAAAAAATAAATTTCTCATTGCGCTTCCAAAATTCTCGCAAACTGACTTTAAAAATCTCCAGTTCAATAATCATTTCGATGATAGAATTCTTTGGAAGTTTTAACCATCTAACAGGCTATTAACGGGTTTTCTGAAGTTCTTTTCATTCGCATTTCACGTCACCGAAATCGTTCAACGAAGCTGTGCGACGTTGTCGGCAGCCGAAAAAATTCGACGTATTATCGCGCGCTGCGTCCGTACGGCAAATTGAAAAACTGGCTTCCCCGTTCAAACTTCGCAAACAATGTTCGCGTATTCCAAAAATTTCGATAAAAGAAGGAGCAAACTACAGAATCAGGTCGTTTCCACGACTTCAATAAAATTTTTTTGTCGTGTCTTTTAATTAAATATCAATTAATCCGCTTTTCTATAAAAGATTCTCTGTATCTAAACTGAGAAATAGATTTTAAAAATCCATCTAGAAAAATAGGTATGTGCGGATTTCGTAACAAGAACAATTCACAGTATAATATAAATTTTAATTTATAATTTATGAAATTTATGAAATTTATGAAATTTATGAAACTAACATTTTTTTATTTAAATATACTATAAATATGCTTACAAATATGTTAAAATAACAAGAAATAATAAATGTTTCTAGAGCATAAAGTTTGTTTCAAAATGTTTCCAACTTAAAATAACTAGTGCTGTGATATTTATTCCTTTCAGACAAAAAAGCTATTTCGGAACCATCAAAGTCGTTTCGTATAAAAGCCATCTTTCAATTTATTGTAATGGACCGCGGCGTTTGACAACAGCCTCGCATTTTCGTGAAACCACGAGCGATGTTGTAAGGAAATTTCTCGTCGCGCTTTCGACGCTGCATGAAACTCCGAGGAAAATTGAAATTAATTTTGGCGAAGAAGGAAAGGAACTCAATTAACTACCGCCACCTAAGAGACACGGGACAGGAATCTTGCACGTTTATTACTACACTCTGCAACTCCGCTCGTTCTTATCGTCGTGCCTCATAATTCTTCCGCGAACCGGCTAACGAAAGTAATTTAATATCGCCCGCTTTAGATACCTGCGATGCGATTCGTCTCAATTTCTCGGCGAAACAGCGCCAACAATAACGCAACCGAGCGTTGATCAGACTGAAAGTACCGACGGCAGCGCGTTGAACCTGCGACGACCTGCAATGTACCGAATCTGTACTTCGTCATGCTAGGTCGTTGGAAGCGAAGCGAAGAAGAAAGCGAGTTATCTTGAGAAGCGTGTTAAAGTGCGCGATAAAAATTGCCGGTGATGCAGACTGTCTGATATCGTCGATATCAGACAGGCTCTGCGAGGACGGAAGCGAACGGATCGAAGCCCGGGTTCGTCGACATCGCGTAAAACAATCTTTTTATCTATATACTCGCTGTCAATGCTGTGTTCTTGAAGGAGACTCGCCAGTCTTTGACTACATTTGCATCACGCGTCACTTAATATCGAAAGTCTTTGCCGCTTTATTTTCTTAGTCGCGCTACTCGATACTCGATGTCGCGTCTCATTATTAACCCGTTTCGATAGTAATGCATCATTATATCGATATTCGCACTAACGCGCGCGTAGAGTATATAACCTAAAATTTTTGAAATATACTTATGCTTTACATAAATATACTTAAAACTTATTGTCGGAACCGATCTCTTCTGAGCTTAAACTTAATAAAAAGCTACTGTGTTTCAATTTTCAACGACAAATTTAACACTTTGTGTTCAATAAAATGCTAAATTATTAATAATCATATATGACAACATAAGTTGTAGAATATAATATTGTAATGTTACATTATGTAATGATATTTTCTTTTAATCAGCATCAAACAATATATAATTGCGTATATACAAATGTCGAAATGATACGCATTTGCAATTGGAATCGAAATAAAGCAATAACTAGGATTACCCATCAAAAGCAGATCGTTTAGAATTGATAACACATCACATATGTCACCAAATGAAATTGCACACACTCTATATACAACCATTTCTCTGACAAAATTTGTAACCGGCTAATTTCATCGCGCGCTTTGCAAATAGTGACTATGAGAAGGAATCAAAAGATTATAATTATATCCGGAATCATTCAATTATGCTTCGCAGAGTGCGCGCTTTTAATCATTGCCGCTTCAGGTCGAGTGCCGAGAGCAAGAGAGAATATAAAAATAAAGAATTCGCGAACGAGAGAATGCGCGATTACAAAATTCGTTGGCATTTTTCAGCGAACGCGTTATCAAGAGCAGGTTGTCTTATTAGTCGTGCTGCAATCCAGCTTCGAGACGAAGAAAAGAAAGCAGGACTAGAAAAAAAAAGAAATGAAGGAAAAGAGAGAGAGAGAGAGAGAGAGAGAGAGAGAGAGAGAGAGAGAAAGAGAGAGAAAGACAAACGAAAATCCGCAATTACGGCAAATCACTTGGCCGACGAAGGAATTCTCCATTTCCGTCAGACAATATTGTCCATCACATTGCATTTCTGCAAGCGCACACTTGTTGTTTGGTTGGTTCTCGCGGCAAATTAGACGCAGAAACTGCCGCAGGGGTGACAATAAAACGAAAAGTTCATTTCCGTAGAGCAGTACGCGGCATCGAAATCATTCGTAATGTACGACATGCACTGCCTTTCATCTACTGATTGTTTAACTTTAGAGTAGATATTTTCCTAGTGAAAATTTCACGGAGTAGTTGTAGTTTTTTAACTCCATGCATTTGAAGGTGAAGTAATATTTGCGAATCAAGTTTGCGAAATAAAGCGGCGTTCGATAAATAAGAAACGAAATCTTCATTTAATTTTAAATAGATTTTACTTTCCGTTTTAATTTAAGACTCTTAAAAGTACACATACCTACTTAACATTGAATTTTCAAAGTTTTACGAGTAAATGGCACTCGTGATGTTGTTAAGAAAAAAATTTTAATCACTAAGAATTTGTAGAAAAGAAAAGAAAGACATGCGTATTAAATATTACAATATTATTCATATTCATATCTTATAATCACATTCTGTGGAAATAGAATTTCAAGTTTCAAGTCACAGAACAATGTATAGTGACTTTTATTCCAAGCAAGCACATATGTAATTTTAAACAAATATAATTCGAAAATTTAGTACCGACAGAATAATTAGCATAATTACATTTTCCGTCCATCTATGAATAATATCACATTTTGTAACCTTTGAGAAGTACAAAAGCCGTGCGCGCATAGTATTGTTCATCAGATTTCCCTTATACCTAATATTGCTCGGATGACCTCAACAGCGCGTACCACCCTTTAGCGAAGTAAATGCCACAAAAGCGACAAATAAATATCACAGCGCCATTTGCGATGTGCACTGAAATGGGACTAGTGTACATATAGTGCAACAAATTATACGCTGAAAACTCGAGTTGCAAACCGAACGAATAAACAAACGAGCAACGATGTAGACTCGCGTAAATTTCATCACCGCCGTCCACGCGAGCAACCATGCGATTCTATTTTTCACCGACAAACGCGATGAAACGTGTAAGTAAAAATCTTTAATGAGCACGTATGGCGAATAATGACTGTGCGTGCTTAAATTTAATAGATGTCGATACTTTCATCCAGAGTATTGTAATATCACGATATAAGTATCATTAATAAAAATGATAAAACAAGATTTTAAAATAAAAAATAAATTAAAATTAATATAAATAATTAATAAAATATTTTTAAAGTACATGCAAAGCTCTGCTCTACAAAATTCATAAATTTTAGTTAAAAATATCGAGAGATATTTTGATAACTTCAAATAAAATCCAGCTAACAATAAGATATAAATTTCAAATCTATTTAATATTAAAAACAAAATATCAATATTATCCATAAACATTTTAATAATAAAATTGAAAAATATATAAAAGATATGCTTTTTTAAAAGATTAATAAATTTAATTTAATAATAATAAATTTAGCTATATGATAATAGTTTAAATATTTTCTTGCAGTTAATATTGTTATATAAAATTTGAACGATGTAAACGCAAAATATCAAAAGGTGTTGATAATACAAGATTCATGTGTAGAAAGAATGAGCTTGTGACAAAAGTTTCGCTACTCATGATACTATAAAGAGAGTCTGCAAGAAAGCGTAGTTCGCCGACTATGGTGAGAAATGAAAGAGGTATTGATCAGAAAAGTTTCATTACCCGTTCGAACATTGTTTCGGAAACACACATTAAAACTGCATTAGCTCAGAAAAATGGCGTTGGAGCGTCCATGTAATAACAGCCGCATGCAAAATGATGCGGGTCGTTTCGAGACGATATATTATGCAGACTAACCATATCACCCGTTAAAGCAGATTCCTGAGATCATTTGGAAGCAATAATTTTTATAAAAAATGTCTAAACAGTAGTTTTTAAACAAAAAGTGTTTAAAGTTGACTAGAGTTTAAAGTTAATCAGATTGTAAAAAATTTGTACGCTCAGGTACGTCACATATTAATTTTTATGTTTTTATCATTCTCTGAGAAACTTCAGAAATCTGCTATTATCAGGAAATACAATTGGTTTGGATTACTATATATTTTACAAAAATAAAATTAATTGAATGGACTTACCGCCACGATGCTCAACAGGGGGATTCGCAAGTCCATCTGTAACATAAAAAGTACATCCAAATTATAGCAATAAATTATTTAAAATAATTATTTAAAAAATATAATTACTACGTACATTAAACTTTTACTCATCTCTCTGTTGCGCAAATATCTAATAAAAGAATTATATTGTATTTATATCTAATAATTATAAATATTAAAACTTGAAAATTTTTTACTGAAAGATTTTATTTCAAAGTTTCTATGTACGTTACATTGCATGTTCTTTTTTTATTTATTATCTATTATTTGCAAAATATTGCAAATAATAGATAATAAATAAATGATTACTTACCCTAAAGTTGCTCCGCCGGCGCCCGATGCCCTTCCTGAGCCTCCTCCTCCTCTCAGTCCTCGCAGTCCAAGGCACTCACTCGCGTTCGCGTCGCGAAGTACGAAAATCGCCCGATATTTTAAACGACACTCCAGACGCGTATTTTGTCATGTTAAAACAAAAATGTAACTCCGAATATTATCGCACGGAATGCACGTTCGACACTCTCAGCAATTAATAACGACGAAAAAAGATGAGACGGACAACTGTAGAAAGTAGTAAGGATATCATATTATCGGAGAAGATAATGCGCTGCTACAGAATAATTTGTTCCGTACAAGTGCCGCCGTGCGAATAATACAGGACGATAGCAAGCACAAGGTCGCGCTGATGCCGATGTCAAAGGAATGCGAAGAGTAGGAGACAATGTTTATATCCATACATAGCGCGAGAGAGAAAGAGAGAGAGGGGATATAGAGCGCGCATACTCTAAGCGTAACGACGAAAACAACCCCACCACACGCCGTGAAACGATCTCGAAATGGAACAATTATCGAATATTTATCGAAATTGAGTTGAACTCGATTTTCACTCCATTTTGAATAAATATCCTAATATTAAGAGTTTCGAGGCCGACTTGTGGTGTTTGTTGGAGTAATTTTCGCCACCTAACAATCTAAATCTCCCCTCTCTTTCTCTCTTTCTCGCTATATATCGCCCTGATTGTTACATCCTAGTACTGTCAATACCCGGCTACCCGGTTATCTCGGGTATTACCCGACTACCTGGATACTCGGGTACCCGGATACCCGGGTATTATTCAATTACCGGATATCCGGGTATTCAAAATATGATAATTAAAGACACGTATTATATTGTAATTGTATAGCTAACCCAAAATTATCGCATATAATCACTACATTATATGTAGAAAATAACTTAATAAAAATTTATAATTTATAAATTATTTTTTATATGTAATACAATTACATGCGATAATTTTGTATTATTAATGCAATACGTGTATGTAATTATTATATTTGGAATATCCAGGTACCCGATTCTAAATAACAGCATTACATCCTGTTCTCCGCATTCTCCCAAATCAGAATCGGCATAACTTTATTCCTAATATGTTCATTGCATCCTTATTATTCGCACGGCGACATATTATACGGAGCAAATCGTTTGGTATCGACACGTTCTCTCCAATATGTAGTATAATATCCTTATTATTTTCCGCAGTTTTCAATTTCACCCTTTCCGTCGTTATTTATTCCAGACGCAGTACAATGTTGAACGTGTAATTCGTACGAGAATATTTCGTGCAAGTTTTATTTTTGTCCTAATATGACAAAATATGCGTCGATAGTGCCGTTTAAAATATTGTATAATTTTTGTATCCGCGTCGCAAACGTGTATGAGTGCCTTGAAGAATTGCAAGAAATTGTGAGAGAAGAAAGAGGCTCAAAAAGGACATCAGACGCCAGCGAAGTAACTTTAAGATAAATAATCATTGTTTGTCAATATTTGTTAATTTGTCAACATTTGTTATTGACTCAAAATATTGCAAATAAAATATGCAATGTAACGCATATAGAAACTTTGATATAAAATCTTTTAGTAAAAAATTTGCAATATTTAATATTTATTCGTAACGGATGAGTAAAGATATTAATTTATTATTATCAATTTCGTGTTTTTTATTATTTGTTATAATACTTGTGAAATTATTCCTTTAAAATTAACATTTCTATCTGTCACAGTCAGAATGATAAATAATATGCGCAATCAGAAAAATCGAATTTAACTTTTCAATACTGCCTTACTCAATACTGACAAAGAGCCTTTATTTGTTATGAAAGAAACCGGAATTTTTCATGAGTTGTCTCTGCATGGAATTTTTTATTAAATGCATTACACTCTTCAGGATCATCTGCGCGTGATAATTACATGCATATCTCGTGGACGAAAAAATGGGAAGATTCCACAATGCGCTCATCATGACAGGCGTCAGTTAAAAACTGTGGTGGTTACGGAAGAAAAATCAGATTAATGCTGCCAGCCAGAGACGGGCTTCTTCTAAATGCAAATTACTCGCCTTCGCAACGCGGGTAACGCGGGTAACGCGGGTAACGCGGGTAACGCGGGTGACGTAGACAACAGGCCGCGATAATTTGTCGCCCGACATCAGTGCACGCCTCGTTATACCGGGTTACCGTTAACACGACTGAGTGTCTAGCCGCGAATTTCCATAAACCTCTCGTTGATGACAATGCAATTATTTCCGAGTACGATTTGTTGTCGCGCAGGATCTTGTATAAACGATCTCTTCTAATTAACCGCAGAATCGCTAATCTCCCCGTGCACAATCTTTTATGGTGAAAATTAAGTGGAGAACGATGACAAAAGTCATGAATAGAAATGAGTTAAAACAAAACATACTCAATATCCGTTTATATTGTATGTATAATTATTTCATTGTAATATAAAATGTTCGCGAATTGCTTTTTTATAAAATTAGAATTAAAGTACTATTGTACAATAAATTTTCCTTAAAATGAGAAAAATGTGAATTATACTACTGTTTCGTTCAAGAGCTCAAATATACTAAATGTAACTCACTTTGAACATATAATTTCCTTGTGTAATGCATTACTGTATAATTCTATAAAAATTCGCTTTTGATGTTTCTTTCTTTACTGGCTACCATTACCAGTTTTACCATCCATGGTCGGCAACGCAGAAATTCTTACGTCGCAATAAAAACGGAAAATAATCTTAGGTTCGTAATCATAATGAGGATAAATACTTTTAAGTACCAACAGTTTAATGATGAAGTAAGGCTTTACCCAACTTTCCGTAATGTATCCTTTACGTTTTACTAGTTTTCCTTTTCCGTGTTTACTATATAGACGTTTTAACAGTGCGATAAATTTCGTCCACTACTTACAATCCATTTAAGCAAAGGAGTAACTCATGCATTTTACGATCATCCTTGTAAAGGTGACGTGAAAATTAGGCGTCTCTAAAGGACGAGCTTAGTTCGAGAGTTTCAGGTTAAACATTTCTAAGAACTACTTTCTAGAAAAATCTTTATAGTATCAAAGTATACATCTGTACAAAACTCTGTTTCAAATTCTGAGATTATTTCCAATAATCTTTAGAACAAAAGCATTGTGGAATCAAATATAAAATATATAATATATAAAAAAATGTTACTCAGTTAATTTATTTTAAAAATGTTACATAATTATATATCGTACAATATTATACGACAAAAAATATATCAAAATATAATGCAAACATTACGTGGCAAATGCAGAATTAGCAACTAAATAAATCAATATGAGTTTTCGTATTACAAACAACTATTAAATACTCGAAAGCATTCACTACAAAGCATCCTGGATAAGAAATTCGACTGCAGATGCAATACAGCGCGGCGCACCGTTACTTAAAATCCGCGGCAAGCACCCGGTCGTAACGAAGTTTGCGACGTCATATAGCGGGTCAAATGTCTCCTCCCCGTCCTGGAGACCGAGTCGCAAGGACCGTCGCTCGAAGAGAAGGTGCCGCTGTGGCACTCTCCGCGAATAATTTATTTTCACAATGCAATAAACCCCGTCCTGGAGAGTAACTATCCATTCGCGCAAATGAAATTTTAACGCAATTGTCCCTCAATAAGGAAGCCGGAATTTGCGCGATTTCTACGAAGTGAAACGTAACAGACCACTCTGCACGCTTCCGTTTCCGCGATAAATTTATCGAAATTATTCGCAGATCGAGAATCCCCGTGTATTCTAAAAGAAGACATTGCAAAGGTCTAGAATCGAATTATCGCTAGAATGTCGATTACGCTCGAGGTCGAGTGTTCGTTCAAGAGCGCTGCAAAATATATCCGTCGCATAAGATCGAATTAAATCTATCATGATCAATTGTGCATTTGTGAAAAACTTCAACATCTGAAGAACAATAGTTATCGTTGAAAATATTATATATATTTCAAAAGAAATTTAATCATTTAAAATATATAATCATATTTACTATAGAATTTATTATATTTTTTCTAATTTTTTATATTTGCAATTATATAAATGTTATCGTATCTTTCTCAAAATTTTTTTACATTTATAATCACATGTTTGTAGTTAATTGTGCAACATATAACTATTTCTGACACTATTTTGAACAGAGACTTCACTAAACCTTTCCTTTCTTAAGTTATTTATGCATTGTTTAATACTGTTTAACACTCAATCAAATCCAAATTTTATGCTGCATTTTTACGGAGGACTAATTTCGACTACTTTTTACTAATGCAATCATCTCTCCGCTTTGAGCTCTATGGTAAGTTAGAAGACAAAACGATTGTGGCATTATTCATGCGGTGATGCTTTATCGGCTATATATATATACTTACACGGCATTTTGTTCGATGATAGTTACGGTTTTGTCATACCCCGTATAATTTTTTTCCAGAAAATAATTCATTCTATAATAATAGATAAATTCTATATGCTTTGAAGAGAAGAACAATTTGGATCATAGCGTGATCTAACAGAACTGCTACAATTGTTCGGTAAATAATACGTTCTTGACTATAATTTTTCGGAAAAGTTTATCGTGCAATTTGTCTCAGAAATCGATCGGATAATATCTAATAATAACGATCGGATTATTAATCATGCAATAATACTTTTCATAATTATGAATTTTAGCT